CGTCCAGGTCTGGTCCTGAGTCTGCCCCCTGTTCGTGTCGTCTCCTCTCTCACGAGACTCTCCTCTGGCACCACCGCCTTGGTCACCCCTCTCTGCTTCGGCTCAGAGGCATGGCCTCTCGTCTTCTTGTTTCTGGCCTCCCCAGGTCCCTCCCTCCCCTTCCTCAGGGGCCTGGCCCTTCCTGTGTCCCCTGTGTCGAGGGGCGCCAGAGGGCTGCCCCTCACTCCTCCCAGTTTCCTTCGACAGAGGCCCCACTGCAGACGCTTCACATGGACGTGTGGGGCCCAGCCCGCGTCCTAGGACCGGGTCACGAGCGCTACTTCCTCCTTGTTGTTGACGACTACTCGCGCTACAACACGGTCTTCCCCTTGCGCAGCAAGGGTGATGTCACTGAGGTGCTGATCGACTGGATCCGCGCAGCTCGTCTCCAGCTCAGGCAGAGCTTTGGCCCGGACTTTCCTGTTCTACGTCTGCACTCGGACAGAGGCGGAGAGTTTTCGTCTGGCCTTCTGAGAGCCTACTGTCGCGCCCGAGGCATCCGTCAGACCTTCACGCTTCCGGACTCTCCGCAGAAAAATGGGATCGCTGAGCGCCGCATTGGCATGGTCATGGACGTCGCTCGTACGTCCATGATGCATGCGGCTGCCCCCCATTTTCTGTGGCCGTTTGCGGTGAGGTACGTGGCGCATCAGATCAACCTCCACCCCAGGGTCTCCAGGCTGGAGACCTCCCCAGCATTGCTGTGGACGTGGAAGGTTGGCGATGCGTCGGCGTTTCGGGTCACGGGATCTCGAGCGTTTGTCCGCGACTTGTCTACGGACAAGCTGTCCCCTCGTGCTGCTCCTTGCGTCTTCCTGGGGTTCCCCCATGACGCGCCTGGGTGGCAGTTCTACCACCCCACCTCTCGCCGTGTTTTGTCCTCCCAGGACGTCACGTTTGACGAGTCGGTCCCCTACTACCGCCTCTTCCCCTACCGCACTCCGTCCCTACCCCCGCCCCCGCTCTTCCTTGTCACAGGTCCCCCCCCCCGGTAGACCCCCTCCCCCCTCAGGGTCCTGCCCCTTCAGGTGTGTCCCAGGTAGACGCAATCGAGCCTGTCGAGGTTACTGGTGACTCTGGTGCTACTGAGGGTGCTGAGCTTGGGGGTACTGCGACTGGGGGTGCTGAGTCTGGGGGTGCTACGACTGGGGGTGCTGAGCCTGGGGGTGCTGAGCCTGGGGGTGCTGAGTCTGGGGGTGCTGCGACTGGGGGTGCTGAGCCTGGGGGTGCTACGCCTGGGCGTGCTGAGCCTGGGGGTGCTGAGCCTGGTAGTGCTACACCTGGAGGTGCTTTGGGTGCTTCGTCTCGTTAGGAGCCACTCTCTCCACCGGAGCTGCTCGAGTGGTTTGCCCGGCGCTGGAGGCGTGCTACTGGAGCTGGAGGTTCTTCGGCTGCTGAGGGTGCTGGTGCCGCGGGTCCCGGAGGTGCTCGTACCAGGAGTACTGGAGCTGCTGGGCCTACGGGTTCGGCTGGAGCTGGTGCTGCTGCGGGCGTTGGTGCTGAGCCTACTGCTCGCGGTCCTGCTGGGGGTGCTACTGGAGCTGCTGGAGGTGCTGCTTAAGCGGGTGCTCCTTCTGGGGGTACTGGTGCTGTGCCTGTTGTGTTTGGCGTCGCCGCACGGCCTCGACCGTACTTCGTTCCACTCCTGCAGTAGGTTCTTGGTCTTCCACCTCCTACAGGTCCTCCTCCTTCTTTAGAGGGTCCACAGCCTGTCCCGTCACAGCTACAGTTACAGCCTGCCTCCCCACTACCTGCTCCCTCTCCCTACACTAGTCCTACTGGAGGTCTTACTGAGCGTCGTGAGCCTGCGTCTCGTCCTGCATCGCCTGTTCGTGCTGCTTGCACTAGTGGTCACGGTTCTCGTCAGCGTCCTCCTCCCGTCCCTGGCACGCACCAGATGTCTCTGCGTCCGTCCACTGCTCCTCTGCGTGCCCCTTTGCCTTCTCCTCCTGAGTCCTCTCTTCCTGCTCTTGCCGACCCGGAGTCGGACTCTCTTCGTGCTGCCAGTCCTACTGTCACGCGTCTCCTTGCTACTGTTGTCACTGACCCTTCCTTTGAGTCCACTGCTGCGTCTGCCCTAGTTGCTGAGCTCGTCGACTTTGCTGCTCGCTGTCGCCTAGACTACACTGCTAGTCTTGTCGCTAAGTCTGAGTTTGACTGTCCTCCGTCCGTCGGGGGTGAGTGTGCCCTTGGCACGGACGTCCTTGAGGACAGGCAGGAGGAGTTCCAGTGTCTGGCAGCTGCTTCACCTCATCTCGTCTCCGTATTGCTTACCCCTGAGGGAGACCCGGATGCACTTGACATCCCGACTCCGCGCTCTTACGCGGAGGCGATAGAGGGTCCCTACTCTTCTCAGTGGCAGGCAGCTATGGATGCAGAGATGGCTTCCTGGAAGTCCACAGGCACCTACGTTGACGCTGTTCCCCCTCCTGGGGCGAACATAGTCAGTGGCATGTGGATTTTGAGGGTGAAGCGGCCGCCGGGTTCTCCGCCTGTCTTCAAGGCACGGTACGTGGGTCGTGGCTTCAGTCAGCGGCAGGGAGTTGACTACTTTCAGACCTTCTCTCCCACCCAGTAGATGACCACTCTTCGGGTGCTACTGCACGTTGCTGCTCACCGTGACTACGAGCTACACTCCCTCGACTTCAGCACAGCTTTCTTGCAGGGCAGCCTGCACGAGGAGATCTGGCTGCGTCGCCCACCTGGCTTCACTGGGTCGTTTCCTCCTGGTACCCAGTGGAGTCTCCGGCGTCCAGTTTACGGTCTCCGCCAGGCGCCCCGTGAGTGGCACGACACACTGAGGACTACACTTTCGGCTCTTTGGTTTGCTCCTTCTACTGCCGACCAGTCGCTGTTTCTGCGCACCGACACTTCTCTACCGCCCTTCTACATCCTCGTGTACGTCGACGACTTGGTTTTTGCCATTGCTGACACTGCTGGACTCGCCTACGTAAAGTCCGAGCTGTAGAAGAGACACACGTCCACAGACCTTGGTGAACTGCGTAGCTACCTTGGCTTGCAGATCACCCGGGACAGAGCACAGCGCACCATTACCTTGACTCAGTCACACATGGTGCAGCAGGTCCTTCAGCGCTTCGGCTTCACGTACTCCTCGCCTCAGGCCACTCCTCTGCCTACTCGCCACTCTCTCTTAGCTCTACCTTCGGATGAGTCCGTAGAGTCGAGTGGCCCGTATCCAGAGCTTGTTGGCTGCCTCATGTACCTGATGACCTGCACACGACCTGACCTTACATACCCTCTTAGCATTCTCGCACGCTATGTTTCTCCTGGGAGACAGCGACCAGAGCACATGGCTGTAGCGAAGAGGGAGTTGCGCTACTTGTGCAGTACGTCGGGCATGGGGCTAGTGCTTGGAGGGCGTAGTCCAGTGGTCCTCACTGGACACGGAGACGCTTCCTGGGCTGACGACCAGGCTACACAGCGGTCGTCACAGGGTTACACCTTCAGCCTTGGTTCCGGCTCTGTCTCGTGGCGGGCTACTCGCTCGTCTTCTGTTCTCGGCTCCAGTTGTGAGGCTAAGATCTACGTCGGGGCCATGGCTGCACAGGAGCTTCGCTGGCTCACCTACGTGCTGACCGACCTTGGAGAGCCGCCTCGTTCTCCTCCAGTTCTGTACGTAGACAACAAGGCCATGCTGGCCTTGTGTCGAGAGCAGCGACTGGAGCACAGAACGAAGCACATTGCTCTCCGCTACTTCCTTGCTCGTGAGCTACAGCAGCGTGGACAGTTGCGGCTTGCGTACGTGGCCTCTGAGGCCAACACTGCTGATGTTTTCACCAAGGCACTTGCGCCTTGTGATCATCAGCGCTTCTGCACTCAGCTGGGTCTTGTCTCTGTCTTGCCTCACTTGCTCACCTCTTGACCTTGCTTGTACTGTTACATATATATATACCTGCTCTTGCTTGTCTAGCCTTATATATATATGTACTCGTGTATGTGAACTGGCCTTGTGGCCTTGAACTTGTGCTCAGAATGTGTGGTGACTTTGTGATCCACCCTGAGCTTTGCTTTGCTTTGCTTGACAGGTCTTGTGACCCCCTTGTTCTCCCCCACTTTGCCTATGGGGGTGTGTCAGAACATTATAGCTTATGCTGTTGTGTAGGCTATAGTGGGGTATCCCATAGGGGGTATAACCCAATTAGGGTTCCCATATGTACTCACTTCATTCATAGTTCATTCATTCTCGTTTGCATTTCCTCAGCTACCCCGTTTATGAGAGACACCCGGATAATAGACACCCCCTGTCTTGTATTCAACATCGTCTTATATCCGGATGATGACGGTAGTTCGCATTTCTGATGTATCGAGCACTACTTCGAAATCGAAGCGAACTAAAGCAAAGCTACAGCGAGTCAACCAAAGCGGTTGACAAAGAGACAACAGCAAGAGGTTGGGTGAAGGTCAAAAATCAAGGACCTTTGACTCACCGAAGGCAGAGCGACAGCAATGAGACATAACTGACTCGATATTGAGCAGTTACCCGACCCGAGTCGTCGCTGTATCGAACTACAACAGCAGTTACAGCTAGTTAAACCTTTTGTAGTCCTTGTAATCATATAAGAGCGTGTATCTCTTTGTTATCATCAACTTATCGTGTTCTTTCATACACCAGTGCAAGGTGGTTCAATCAGTTCACTAAATACGCTTCCACTAATATATCACTACTCCGAGCCTTTAGTCTTGAAAACGATCCTAAGGGGTTTTCTCAGCCCAACAAATAAGAGGTGATCGCCGTTGTAGCACATACTTGTATCATACATTGTATCGCGCCTATAGTAATTTATATTTGTAGCCAAAAAGTGGTTAACAATCACCACTAGCAAAAGGTTATTGTACGCGTTTCGTTATTTGTTATTCCGTTCTCATAACAAACACTGCGATGACAATTTCCGCAGATGTGATCATACCGCCATTTCCATGACCAGCCGCCCTTGGTGGTGATGAGCGACGTCAGCAGGTGGCAATCAGCGGCAGCGACGGGCAAACCTGGTCGTCGGGCGCCTGGCAGCGCGCCTGCTGTCGCCGCAGCGTCTCCCTTCGATCTATCCTCTTCCGCCACTCCTTCTCCTCCGCTCGCCTCCTTGCGCCCGGTACCGCCGCAGATCCCTCTCGCCCCGCGCGCGCCCCACCATCCCGCCGCAGATAAGCCGCTGGCTTCCGCTCATCCCACGCGCTCCCTGTCATCGTCGCAGCCGCACAGCAAATCCCGCCGTCTGCCCTTCCGCTTCCCCGCGCGCGCCGTGTCCCCCAAGGCGCGCGCGCTCTGCCACTACGCCGCGCTCACCGTCGCCGCCGCCCTCTTTCTCGTCGTGTGGATCGCCTTCCAGCCCGACGCGCCCCCCCTGCCCGACGCCCGTGACTCCAATGGGGGCGCCGTCCCACACCGCCGCTCGCATGAAGCGCTACGAGGCTGCCCGGTGTGCGGCCGCGGCGAGGACAAGCTGCCGCCGTTGGTGCGCCCGCTGTCCGCGCGCGGCGCCAAGGTGCGCCTCTGCATGGGCAGCACCGCCGCGCCGTTCGCGCAGGGCACGTTCGTGAGCCCCGAGGAGGCGCGCGACGGGGCGAGCTTCGGCAGCCGGTTCGCGCAGCTGACGGTGTTCGAGGCGGAGGCGCTGCACGAGGCGGCGGACGGCGCGGGGGGCGCGCGCGGAGGCGGCGGGAAGGCGGGGCGGCAGGGGCAGGGAGGGGCGGCGGTGGTGACGACGTGGGTGCGGCTGCTGGCGTTCCTGGAGGACGAGGAGTCGATCCGCAAGACGCAGTGGGATGGGTGGGGCGCGGCGGAGCTGAGCGACGTGTACTGGCGGGGCGCGCTGGCCGTGAAGTGCCTGGTGTGGCCGGGCCACGACCCCGCCCTGCACAGTGTGGCGCCCGCCGTGGTGGTGGACGCCGTGGTGCGCCACCGCCACCCCTGGCACATCGCCCTCGAATGCCCCCTCCCGCCCTTCGCCCCTCCGCCTTCCCCCTCCTCCTCCTCGCCTCCTGCGGACACTTCTGCGGACCCCTCGGAAGACGCGGCAGTGCCGGTGCGCGTGAGGGTGAGTCGGCGGGAGGCGCGGCGGCACTACGTGGAGTACGGGCAGCGCCTGCAGGTGCAGCTGGTGGCGGCCCACAACGGCTCCGACCTGCGCATGCCGCCACTGCTGCTCTGCCGTGCTGATGGTGATGGCGACGGCAGTGGCGACGGCAGTGAGGGCCTCATCGACCCCGGCAGCCGCGCCCCACCGTTCCCCTTCGCTGCCGTGGAGAGGGAGGTGGCTGCCGCCGCTAATGCAGGCTCAGGAGGAGGCTCGGAACTGGCGAGGCTGATGGGGGGGGATGCGGGAGGAGTGGGGGGCAAAGCGAGGATGAAAGGAGCGGGGAAAGGGGAGGGCGCGGGGGCGGAGGGGGGCAGTGCGGAGGAGATGCTGGTGGAGTATGGGGAGGACGCTGCCACGCAGGAGCAGGGGGGCAGCACCACTGCACACAGCAGCAGCAACAGTGGGGGCGGCAGGAGGAGGGCGATGGGGGCGGTGGCGATCTGCCTGCGCCCGTTCCACACGCGGCAGCTCTTCTCGCTGGACGTGGCCTTCTCCCACGCGCGCCTGCTGGAGTGGATCGACGCGGCGCTGCTGATGGGCGTGGAGCACGTGTACGTGTACGACCGCCACGCCACCGCCATCACCGCCCTGCTCGCGCCCTACATGGAGCGCGGGCAGGTGCAGCACGTGCCCTTCCCTCCCTGGAGCGAGGTCTTCTTCCGCCACGCCCTCTACGCTGGCAAGGCCCGCGTGCCGTACCTGGTGAGTGCCGTACCTGGTGAGTGCCGTACCTGGTGAGTGCCGTACCTGGTGAGTGCCACTCTCGCACCAGCTGGTAGTACCAATGCCAAACTTCAATTCTCTCCCATGTCCCTTGCTTAGCAATGCCCCTCTCGACCATGCCCCTCTGTCCCCCCCCATGCCCCTCTCTCTCTCATGCCCCTTTCTCTCATGCCCCCCTCTCTCTCATGCCCCCCTCTCTCTCATGCCCCCCTCTCTCTCATGCCCCTCTCTCTCTTACAACCCCTGACGCTCACCCTTTTCCCGATGCCACACTCCTCTCCCTCTCGCCCCACCTCCCCCTGTGTCGCCAGTTCCCGGAGATCTACGATCAGATTATATCGTACGAGCACTGCCTCATGCAGGGGCGGCGGAGGGGAGACCGGTGGCAGCTGCACATAGACAGCGACGAGTTCGTGTGGTACGAGCCGCGCACGGGGGGCTTCCTCAAGCCGCTGCTCGCCCGCCTTGAGCTCAACCACTCGCGCTCTCGACCCCGAAGCAGCAAGGAGCCCCTGCGGGTGAGCGCAGCTGTGTGGCACGGCCTGGGCTGGAGGATGCCTTCCGCTCTCCACTCAAATGAAACCCCCTTGTCCATGTGCTCTTGCCTTCGACGACTGTGCCGTGTTGCACTCGAATGCCTCAAATGCCCCACTCATCTCCTCCCGCCCCAACCCTGCATGCGCCTGCAGGTGATTCAGCTGCGGCGCTTCAACTTCTGGGGGGTGGAGGCGGAGTCGCGGCGCGAGCCGGTGTTGGACCGCCTGACGTGGCGCTGCGCTCAGCCCATGTGGCACACGGAGGGGTGGGCGGGCTGGCATGACAAGCTCGCTGTCAACCCACAAACCATCCTGCCCTAGTGAGTGCCGCCCTAGTGAGTGCCGCCCTAGTGAGTGCCGCCCTAGTGAGTGCCGCCCTAGTGAGTGCCGCCCTAGTGAGTGCCGCCCTAGTGAGTGCCGCCCCAGTGAGTGTTGCCCTAGTGAGTGCCGCCCTAGTGAGTGCCGCCCTAGTGAGTGCCGCCCTAGTGAGTGCCGCCCTAGTGAGTACCGCCCCAGTGAGTGTCGCCCTAGTGAGTGCCGCCCTAGTGAGTGCCGCCCTAGTGAGTGCCGCACGAGTTGAGTGCTGCCTGAGTGAAGTGCTGCCCTATGAGTATTGCTGCAGTGAACTCTGCCCTTCCCACGACTTCTCTCTGCCCTCAACCTTATACCAGTGCAATTCGGTATTCATTTCACTCATCTTGACCATTTCACTCATCTCAGCCGGTGATCATCTTAACCAGCATGCACACCCAAACAAGGTGCCAGCCTGACCCACCACTCTTCACTGCACGTTCCCTCCTCACCCTTACATAACTCTTCTCTCATTCCTTGTCCCTCCACATTTTCCCCGCCATCAGCTCGGTGGCGATCCACACCACCACGGCGCCCCCAGAGTCGGTGGCAACGGCGCCGCGGGACGTGCTGCACCTGAACCACTTCACGGCGACGGCCATCGACCTCGCGCAGCACCCCTGCCGCTCCTGGGTCAAGCCCGTGCTGGACCAAGGCCTCACGTGGGTCACCCCGCGCGCCCTCAAGTGCCGCGCCCTGCCCTGCCGCCGCTCCACGCCCCTCGAGTGCTGGCCCTTCTGCATTCTGCCGTGGCAGGGGAACGACGATGGCAGGAGGGGCAGTGCTGGTGGGGGTGTAGGGCCACGGGTGGCTAAGACAGAAGGTGTGGAGAATGGGGGGGGAGAGAAGAGCAAGGAGCCTGCGGAAGATACCATGTAACTGAATTGGCATGGCCTACTTGCATGTGATGAGGCATTTGGGTTGTCATAAGATCATTGGTGCCGCATGGCCTTTCACCGCCTGCTGTGCATCTGTGCCCAAAGCTTCACGAGAGACATTAACCGGATGCACTACACGCAATAAGCAACACAATGGGTTCCTTTCAGGCCCTCAGAAATCAGAATTTTTTCTCTGATATTTCAGATTTTTTTTTTTCCTGTGTACTCTGATAAAATCAGACTTTTCTGGGCCTCAACTCTGTAATTTTCAGACTTTTTTTTAAACCAAAATATAAAATAATGAACCCTGTCCCAACTTGAAATGGTGCTCCAGAGAACGGGCCGATAGAGCACTGTTCCAAAGAAAACGAGCAGGGGCTTGAACAAATGTGATTGGCTTTCGCCAAGCTTGTGCTGTCTTCTTCCCGCCAAAATGTTTATCCATCCGGATCTCCCTCGTCGCACGTTTTCGTGCTACACCTGCACGACGGTTGCCTGGCGATGGTTTCCATGGGTTTCGGGTTTACCTTTCCGCATTGGCTAGTTTCCTGTATCGCGCCTTCGCCATCGCTTTCGTCCGATGTCCGTTCCCCTCCCATCACCTTTGCGGGTCTCTCTCCTCCCCCCCACGTCGCCTTCTATCTTCCCTCCCTCCCCGTCACCCTCGTTCTCCCCTCCCTTCCTGTCGACAAGTTTTCTCCCTGTCGCCTTTCACATCGTCGTCCTCGTCGACGGTTGCTCTCTCCCTGAAATGCCCGCCGCCCCCTAACGCCTTTCTTCTCTCCCCTCCCATCGCCTGCTCGCTCTCCCTCCTGTCGCCTTCTTCTCTCCCCTTGGTCGCCTGCTCGCTCTCCCTCCCGTCACCTTCTTCTCTTCCCTCCCGTCGCCTTCGCGCTCTCTCCCCCGTTGCCTTCGCGATCTCCCTCCCGTCGACTGCGCGCTCTCCCTCCCGTCGCCCTTGCAATTTCCCCTCTCTTCCCGTCGCCCACTTCATCTCCTATCGCTCACGTCCTCCCTTCTCGTCGGCATCGCGCTCACGTTCCTCCCTCCACTCGACATTGCCCTCACGTCCTCCCGTCCCACCCCATCGTTCGCCTCCTCTCTCCCATCCCGTCGTTCACCTCTTCTCCCCTCCCACCCCATCGTTCGCTTCCTCTCCCCTCCCATCCCGTCGTTCGCCTCCTCTCCCCTCCCATCCCGTCGTTTCTCCTCTCTCTCCCCTTTCTTCCCGTCGCTTTTGCACTCTCCCCTCCCATCCGCTGGTTATTACCTTGCCAAACTTATTTTCTCCACCCTTTTTTTTTAACTTCTTTCAGCCCCAAGTCCAAGGATAAGTATTTTAGCGCAGCTCTGCTCTCATCTCTTGCATATGGGTGTGTGCTGGATTTTCCCTGTGTTGTTGATTGATGTGAGTTTTGGTGAAGTCACATGAGCGCTCGAGTGAATACAGGCATTGCAACCCCTTGCGCCAAATTCGCACACAAGTATGTGTGAGTTGTGTGTGAGTTTCACAGCCAATCAGAATTGTACACATGGTCAAAATGTTCTCCGTTCACAATGGGACTCGTATGGAGTGGGAAAATAAAAAGCACAGCACTTCCAACTTTCCGAAGTGTTCCCAAAAAAACTCTGTTTTCAAGTGGACCCAACTAGAAGGGCGGGGTCACTATTTTAGCTGCTGGCTTTGATGCTAACTCTGAGAGTTCCGAGTTTTCTGAGAGTGTACTCTGATAATTCAGAGTACAAACGCGTCCTTGACGGGTGTTCGGACTTACGGGTCACAGCAGGTTCGTACTGACACAGCAAATCCGAGTCTTACAGGACTAGATTTTCTTCCAATCATAGGAAAATCTTCCATGACACAACAGATTTGCGCTGTCAGAGTACAACAATCTTCGCCCAATCACAACAAAATCGCCCTGACATAGCAGATTCGCCCTGACACATATATTCGACCTGTCAGAGCATGTTTCGATAGTATATGAATGAAACATTGAATACACTTCCGATGAAACATAGAATACATTGCTTTTGAATGATCAGACTTTTGTTTTAAGACACTCTGAAATTTCAGCCTTTTTTCTATACCAAGTCTGAGATTTTCAGACTAACACTGTGTACTAGTCTGACGAATCAGACAGGCCAAAAACGAATCTGAGGGTCTGGTTCCTTTGTCTTGCATTGAGTCCACACATACAGATAAAACAAAACACGATCAGAGCTGTACAATGGGGGGCACGGCTGGTATGGCTAGTGGCACAGGCGGAGGTAGATTACGGCAGCGATGGCGAGCATGAGGGCGAGGATGAGCGCGGTGATCCACTTGTTGCGGTGCAGCTTCACAGCCATGCCGCCCAGCACCCGCCTCGCGCGACTCATGTAGTGGTCCACGTCCTCCAGCTGCGCATGGCACAGAGAAGGGAATTGCAGAGGAATGCTCTTGAGGCCGCCACCGTGGTGTGTGCAGTGAGGCATTCACTCACACCATGCTAACATGATGCACAATGCAGGGGCTCTTCAACTCTCCTTTTCATTCAGCAGAACCTATCCTCTCCACTACCTCTCCCCCTCTGCCCTCACCGTATCGCCGGTGCGCAGCAGGGACTGGCGCTGCTGGTGCAGGTCGGCCAAGATGGCCACGCCCAGCTGCTCCGTCGCCACTATGATGCGCCGGCTCTCCGCCACGCGCGCTGACGACTCCTCCACCCGCGCCATCACCTGCAACAACTGTTAGAAACTAGCAGCAGGAATGAATGAACTATGAAAGAGTTGGGTACAAGTATGAAACCCTAAAAGGGGTTCTACCCCATATTGGCTACCCCACTACAGCCTAAACATATATAGCATATATATACTTCGACACACCCCCATACGCAAAATGGGGGAGAGCAAGGGGTCACAAGACCAGTCAAGAGAAGCAAAGCAAGCTCAGGGTGGATCACAACGTCACCACACATACTGAGCACAAGCAAAGGGCCACAAGGCCAGCTCACATGCAGAGGTATATATGCAACAACAACAACACAGTAATCTCTACCTAGCAGAACAGGCATGCAGATATATATATATATATATATATATATGTATATATATAGATCACAGTAAAAGCAAAGTCTACAGCAAGTGAGGCAGAGTAGGCACAAGGCCTAACAAAGTGCAGAGACGCTGATGATCATCAAACGGAAGTGCCTTGGTGAATATATCAGACGTCTTGGCCCGAGTGGCCACGTGAGCAAGACAAAGCTGACCACGCTGCTGCAACTCTTGAGCCAGGAAGTAACGCAGAGCGATGTGCTTCGTTCTGTGCTCCAGTCTGTGCTCGCGACACAAGGCAATGACGGCCTTGTTGTCGACGCACAGCACTGGAGGAGAATGAGGCCGCTCTCCCAAGTCGGTCAGCAAGTAGGTGAGCCAGCGCCTGTGCAGCCATGGCTGTGGCGTAGATCTCAGCCTCACAACTGGAGCTGAGAACTGAAAACGGGCGTGTAGAACGCCAAGAAACAGAACCAGAGCCAAAGCTGAAGGTGTAACCCTGGAACGACCGCTGCGTAGCCTGGTCGTCAACCCAAGAAGCGTCTGAGTGCCCAGTGGGACAACTGCGCTCCGCCCTCCAAGCACGAGCCCCATGCCCGATGTACCGCACAAGTAGTGCAGTACCCTCTTCGCAACATCCATGTTCACCTTTCGGTGCAGACCAGGAACCACGTAGCGAGCCAGAAGGCCAAGAGGGTACGCAAGGTCAGGTCGAGTGCATGTCATCAGGTATATGAGGCAGCCCACTAGCTCTGTGTACGGGCCACTCGGCTCTACGGACTCGTCCGAAGGTGGAGCTGAGAGCGAGTGGCCTGTAGCCAGAGGAGTGTGCTGTGGCGAGGACCAGGTGATGCTGAAGCGCTGAAGGACCTGCTGCACCATGTGTGACTGAGTCAGTGTGATGGTGCGGCGTGCTCTGTCCCGGGTGATCTGCAAGCCAAGGTAGCTGCGCAGTTCACCAGGTCTGTGCACCTGTGTCTCTTCTGCAGCTCCGACTTCACCTGGGCGAGAGCCTCAGTGTCAACAGTGGCAAAGACCAAGTTGTCGACGTACATGAGGATGTAGAACGGCGGCAGCGACATGTCGGTGCGCAAAAACAGCGACGGGTCAGCAGTCGACGGAACAAACCCAAGAGCCGCAAGTGTAGTCCTCAGTGTGTCGTGCCACTCACGTGGTGCCTAGCGGAGACCGTAGACCGGCCGCCGGAGGCTCCACTGGGTACCAGGAGGGAACGACCCAGTGAAGCCAGGAGGGCGGCGCAGCTAGATCTCCTCGTGCAGGCTGCCCTATAAAAAAGCTGTGATGAAGTCAAGAGAGTGAAGCTCGTAGTCACGCTGAGCGGCGACGTGCAGTAGCACCCGAAGAGTGGTCATCTTGGGGGTGGGGGAGAAGGTCTTAAAGAAGTCTACTCCCTCTCGCTGACTGAAACCTCGAGCAACGTAACGAGCCTTGACGACAGGTTGAGAACCTGGCGGCCGCTTCACCCTGAAAATCCACATGCCACTGACGATGTTCGCCCCAGGAGGGGGAAGCTCGTCAACGTAAGTGCCTGTGGACTTCCAGGATGCCACCTCTGCGTCCATGGCTGTCTGCCATTAAGAGGAGTACTCACCCGCGATCACCTCAGCGTAAGAGCGCGGGGTCAGGATGTCTGGTGCATCCGGTTCTCCCTCAGGGGCAAGCAGCATGGACACGAGATGAGGCGCAGCGGCTTCAAGACACTCAAGGTCCTCCTGCCTGTCCTCAAGGACGTCCGTGCCAAGAGCACACTCAACCCCGACGGACGGAGGACAGACAGACTCAGACTATGCAACAAGACTAGCGGCGTAGTCCAGACGAAAGGCAGCAGCAAAGTCAATTAGCTCAGTGACTAAGGCAGACGCAACAGCAGACTCAAACAACGGGTCAGTGACAACTGTGGCTAGTAGACGCGTGACAGTAGAGTGAGCAGCACGGGTGCGGTCAGACTCAGGCTCGGGAACGGTTTGCAAAGAAGACGCAGGAAGGGACGGCAGGGGAACACGCTGCGGAGGAGAGGAAGGACGACGGACTACGAGGTGGGTGCCGGTGACAGCCGGCTGACGCGAAGGAGGAACACGCCGACCAGGACGACCAGAACGGACAGGCCAGATATGATGCGACGCAGGCTCACGACGCTCAGTAAGACCCCCTGTCTGCTCAGTGTAAGGAGAAGGAGCAGGCAGCGGTGAGCCACGCTGTAACGGAAGACCAGTAGACGAAGGGAGACTAAGAAACTAGCGAGGTATAGGGTCAGACGGTGGCTGAGACAACAGAGACGGTGGAGCGAAGAACAGGTGCGGCTATGCAGCGCCACCAGCACCAGCTGCTCCAGCACCCCCAGCAGCTCCAGCACCTCCAGCAGCTCCAGAACCCTCAGCGCCAGCTCGTCCATGACCAGCTCCACCAGCACCAGCACCACCAGAACCGGCACCTCCAGTCCCAGGGTCTCGAGTCTCAGTGTCTCCAGTAGCAGCACCCCCTAACCCAGGGTCTCCAACAGGAGCACCCTCAGGCTCAGCACCTCCAGCCGCAGCAGCTCCAGTACCTCCAGTACGAGCACCTCCGGGACCAGCACCTCTCCCAGCTCCAGCGACGCCAGCACAAGTACCTCCAGCGGTAGAGCCCCGAGCTCCAGAAGCGCGACCCTTACGGCGACCGTACCAGTCGTGTAGCTGCTGTGAGGTGAGAGGCACACGCGGACGAAGGTGGCGACTCCAAGGAGACCGCACAACAGCAGACTCAGAACCCTCAGCGCTAGCACCTACAGCAGCTTCAGAACCTCCAGCGCCAGCACCCGCAATAGCTCTAGAACCTCCAGCGCCAGCACCCTCAGCAGCTCCAGAACCTCCAGCTCCAGAACCTCCAGCAGAAACAACTCCAGTGGCAGAGACACCAGCACCAGCGCCTCCCGCAGCACGGGCCCCTAGCTCCAGCAGCGCGACCCTGACGACCAACGTACCACTCACGGAGCTGCTGTGGGGAGAGAGGGAGTGGACGACGAGAGTGCAGCGGCGATGTACCAGTAGAGCGACTACCGAGACGGCCGTCCCAGGGAGACTGCTCATCAAACGCCTCAGTGCCCCTAGGTGCCGCACCCCGAGACTCAGTACCCCCAGGCTCAGCAACCCCAGACTCCTCACGTCCAGGCTCAGCACCTCCAGTCTCCGCACCCCCAAGCTCCGCACCTCCAGGCTCCGCACACCCAGGCTCAGCACCCCCAGGCTCCGCACCCCTAGGCTCTGCACCCCCAGAAACAGTACCCCGAGCAGGACCACCCTCAGCAGGACCTGAGTCACCAGTGACCTCAACCGGCGCAGACAAGGGAGAAGGGTCTACCTGAGACACACCTGAAGGAGTAGGACTGGGAGCGGGGAGGGGGTCTACTTGGGGAGCACCTGGAGCGAGGAAGAGCGGCGGGAGGGGGGGGGGGGGGGGGGGGGGGAGAGGGGCAGTGCGGTAGGGGAACAGACGGTAAAAGGGAACCGACTCGTCGAACGTGACGTCTTGGGAAGGGAAGAGACAGCGAGAGGTGGGGTGGTAAAACTGCCAACCAGGCGCGTCAGGGACAAAGCCAAGGAAGACACAGGGAACAGCGCGGGCGGAGAGCTTGTCCGCGGTGGAATCGCGTACAAAGGCACGCGCACCCCAGACCCGGAAACACGATGCATCGCCAACCTTCCCCGTCCACAGCAGTGTGGGCGAGGTCTCCGTCAATGACACACGGGGCCAGAGGTTGAGCTGATGCGCGGTGTACCGGACCGCAAACGGCCACAGAAAATGGGGGGCAGCCGCATGGATCATTAAGGTACGAGCGACCTCCATGACTAAGCCAATGCGGCGCTCAGCAACCCCATTCTGCTGCGGAGAGGCCGAAAGCGTGAACGTCTGGTGGATGCCGTGCTCCGCACAGAAGGCTGCCAAGAGGTCGAAGGAAAACTCCCACCTCTGTCAGAGTGCTGACGCAAGACGGGAAACTCCGTCCCGAACCACTCGCAGAGCTTGAGACAAGAAGCGCGGAACCAAGGGATCAAAACATCAGGGACCTCACCCTTGGTGCGCAAGGGGAAGACCGTGGTGTAGCGCGTGTAGTCATCGACGACAAGCAGGAAGTACCGCTCGTGGCCCTGTCCATGGACGCGGGCTGGGCCCCACAAGTCTCAGGTGGAGATTCTGCAGGGGAGCCTCTGTGGGAGGGAACGAGGAGTGAGGAGCGGTGCGCTGCCGCCCCTCGACACAGGGAAGACAGGGAGGAGCAGGCAAGGGTGGGAGGGGAGGGAGAACCCTGGGAAGACCAGAGACAAGGACACGGCGGTACATGCTGCGAAGGCGCTGCACCGAGGGGTGACTAAGGCGGTGGTGCCAAAGGAGGGTCTCGTGCGACAAGGCGCGACACGAGCAGGGGGCCGGTAACTGACCTGGCGTAAACGCAGACGAAGCTACCTGAGGGGACGCAGTGGTCAGTGTGTATAGGCCCGACCCCGGCTGCCGAGTGAAGGTAGCCAGGTGACGACCCGTCTGAGCACACGTGCAGTGTGTCACACGCTCGTAGGCAGGGGTGAACTGGTGAACACCCGCGTCCTGGAGCGCAGAACCCGCCACCAAGTTCGTAGAGAACGAGGGGAGGTAAAGACCCGACAGTGTGCCGGACGAGACAGCAGGACAAGGGAGGACAGTGGAGGAGGTCGCACGGACTGGACCCCCAGAGGGGTCTGCCAGGGAGACTGGAACCGGCCGGTTGAGCGGCGTGAGGGTGGTGCTGTCGCGAAAGAAGGAGCGAGAAGCACCAAAGTCAAGTGTGAAGGTGTACAAGGCCTTAGCAGGCGCAGTAGTCGAGAGAGCAGACTCACCAGCACCTGAAGCAGCACCCTCATCAGCACCTAGAGCAGGAGACGCACGAGCACCTAGGGCAGCATCCTCACCAGCACCAAGAGCAGTAGGCTCTACACATGGGTCAGGCGGTACGCACAGGTAACAGGCACGATCAGCACTAGTAGGCAATGCATACATGGCAGTGAGAATAGCATCATAGTCAAGAGCAAATATATCTACCCTCTGCCCAAGCAGCTCCACCCAGTTGGGGAGCTCAGCCTCGTCGCCAAACTCGGTACGCCAGGTGTTGCTCAGACGGGCGAAGCAGCGGGACTGTGTGTGACTAAGCATCCCGCAAGCTTGACCCGTTCGATCACCTGTGCGAATGACGTACGGGCAGCGAACGGTACTCAAAGACCCTCTACTCTCAGCGTACCACTCACGAAGCTGCTGGGACGTAAGTGTCTCGCGCGGACGCCGCTGCAGCTGCAGTTGGCCACCGCCAGACGCTCGCGACTGACCAGCCCTAGGGCGACAACCACGACAGCTACCACCACAACCCCAACTAGCGTACCACTCACGAAGCTGCTGGGGCGTGAAAGACTCGCGCGGACGTCGCTGGAGCTGCATCTGGCCACCGCCAGTAGCAGCAGTAGCAGTGGTAGTGACAGTAGTAGCAGCAGCAGCACCGCGGGTAGGGCAGGCGCCGCAGGCAGGTAGGCAGGCAGGCAGGCAGGCAGACAGGCAGGCAGGCAGACTGGCTGGCAGGTAGGCAGGCAGGCTGGCAAGCAGGCAATGCACTAACAAGGAAGGTGATCACCAGTGGCGGGAAGAGTAGGCGCTTGCCGTACGAGCAAGGTCGGCGCTCAGCAGGCGGCTGCACGGGGTCGAGGGGCGGTGTCGCGGGTCCAGAGGCGGCGTCGCGGGGTCCAGGGCCGGCTCCATTGAGTCCAGGGGCGGTTGCACCAGGGGCGGTTGCTTCAGGGGCCAGGGGCGGCTGCTCTGGGTCCAGGGGCGGTTGCTCGAGGGTCCAGGGGCGGCTGCACCAGGGGCGGCAGCTGGACGGGCCAGGGGCAGCTACTCAGGGTCTAGGGTCAGCTTCTCGAGGGTCCAGGGGCGGCTGCACCAGGGGCGGCTGCTGTAGGAGCCACGGGCGGCTGCTCTGGGTCCAGGGGCGGTTGCTCAAGTGTCCAGGGGCAGCCGCGGTGCGCGGGCCTGAAGCGCGCAACGCGTGCTGCGAGCGCGGCGCGCGAAGCTGCCGCGGGCTGCGCGAGGGCGGTAACCGCGGCGCACGGGGCTGCAGCTCGACATGCGGGCAGCGGACGCGACACGCGGGGCTGCAGCACGACGCGCTAGGCTGCAGCGCGACGTGCGGGTAGCTGATGCGACGCGCGGGGCTGCAGCGCGACGCGCGAGGCTGCAGCGCGACGCGCGGGGCTGCAGTGCGACGCGCGGGGCTGCAGCACGCAGCGCGGGCTGCGGACGTGGCGCGCGGAGCAGCAACGAGCGCGCGCGAGCTGCTGCAGGGCGGGGCCAGGTGGGGCCGCGTCAATGGCAAGTCGTGGCCGCGAGGAGGGGCGGCGCTCTAGCCTGACGGGCCTGCAGGGGTGGCTCGCGGGCCTGACGGGCCTGTAGGGGCGACGTGCGGGCCGTACGAGTTTGCAGGGGCGGCGCGCGGGCCTTACGGGCCTGTAGGGGCTGCGCGCTGGCCTAGGGCAGCAGTAGGGAGCGCGAGGGCTGCAGGACGGCGCGCGCAGCGCAGCACGTCACAAGGCAAGGCAGGCAACACGTGGGGTGGCGTGGTAACTGCAACGGTAGGTGGGCCTGGAAAAAAAGACGGTCCTACGAACGTAATGCTCTGAAACCATGTTAGAAACTAGCAGCAGGAATGAATGAACTATGAAAGAGTTGGGTACAAGTATGAAACCCTAAAAGGGGCTGTACCCCATATTGGCTACCCCACTACAGCCTAAACATATATATACTTTGACAGCAACCACGCCCGCTGGTCCGCTGCACCCCTGGGGGGGGGAGGGGGGGCAGGTTGGAGAAGAGAGGGGGAGGGGAGGCCCGCAAGATGGATGGACACGTGCATCTAGTTGCTTGCGCTGCCTGAAGAGAGACACGGATTGGTGGTGCCTGCCCTCGGGATAGTGGTAGGCACGCACATGCACCGATAGAGGCACACACCGATAGAGGCACGCACCGATAGAGGCACGCACCGATAGAGGCACGCACCGATAGAGGCACGCACCGATAGAGGCACACACCGATGGAGGCACAGCACACACCGATAGAGGCACATAATCCCTTCCATCTTCCAGCAGCGCTGCTCTCTCCTCCTCCGCTCGCCCCACCCATTGGGCCTCCGCTTGCCCCGCTCCTTGCCCCCCTCCTTGCCCGCCCGCCACGACAGCGCGCTTCTTGGCGGCGAGCAGCGCGAGCTTGTGCGGGCGCAGGCGCGCTAGCAGATGCGCGCGGCCGGCAGGGGGGAGCAAGCGCGCCTCGAGATCCATCTGGCGAATCTGGGGGAGGGGCGCGCGAGGCGAGGGGGAGGAAGAAGAAATATGTGTGGCGGGGAGGGATACGTGCGGCGGGGAGGGATACGTGCGGCGGGGAGGAGAGCAACGTGGCGGGGACTGCACGAGGTGGCGGAGGGAAGAGAGAGTGGGAGGACCCGAAAAGGGTGCAGGAGAATTGGAGAGGGTGCAGGTGAGCGGAGAGGGTGCAGGGGAGCGGAGAGGGTGCAGGGGAGCGGAGAGGGTGCAGGAGAGCGGAGAGGGTGCAGGGGAGCGGAGGCGACGTACGAGTGACTCCGCGTTGTCGATGCGCCGCTGTGACTCGTGTAGCCGCCCGCTGGACGCATCTGCACGGCCACAACGAGACGAGTGGGACGCGATGAATGAGACGCGCGACATGAGAGACCTATGAGGATCTACCTGCGAAACTCAGGGTGAAGGAAACCATGTAGGGCGGAGGGGAACCATGCAGGTTGGAGGGGAACCATGCAGGGCGGAGGCGAACCGAGGAGCGCAAATAGGATACGAGGGGTCACGCCCTATGCTGTCGTATGATTGGCGTACCGTCCGATGGCGCTAAACTGCCGCTCGTACGCCTCAAGGTCGCCATGCGCGCCACACCGCTGCTCGCACCCGCCGCGAGGGAGACGATGCGAGCGAGACGATGCGACGGTTGCGCTTCTGGACTGCGCGACGACGTGTACGGCGAACCAGGGTTTGCGGAAAGCCAAGAATTCAAACTGGACTGTTGGAAGGAATTGGTTGAGCTCGTTTCGGCCTACTTCGCGCCTTCTAAAACGAGCTAGGCAGGGAAGTCATAGCAGAGTGGTTGAGTTACTGGTTTGAAGTGCTCTATGGAGTTCTCTGGAATTTACATGGCATTGTTCCGCAGCCCCACAGAACGGAACGGAAAGTAGGAAACTGCCTAGCTTTTTAATTTTAGGTTTGGTGAGACGGTCAGCCCCAAAATTGGTGTCGAGCCGGCCACTTACCGTCCGAACCAACTGGGAGGGAAGTGCTGCAGAACGCTGCTTTTCCGTCACCGAAATTGAAGGCAGGAAGTTGCGTACCCACCTTCCGTCACAGGCAACCACAAATGCTCCCACCTACCCAGTCGCATACCACCCTTTGGAGGGAACCACTTCTGTCATGGAATAGAAGTAGAGAGCTAGGGAACACCATTACCTTACCTGATACAATCTGAACCGTCTTATAGGATCGTCTCAGGTTGATCGCACGGAGTGTAGCAGCGGAAGATTGCTAGGTAATGTCGGGTACAGACTCTGTCAGTAGAAGGAGATTTGAATCTCGGCAGAAGTGACTATTACAATGCGGTACAGGGGTTTATTTAGGAATACAGTGGAATACGGAACACTTATGGGGTTGCAACATCGCAACCGTGCGGTTCGTTAACCGTACACGGTCCAGTAACCGTTTGAACATTTCCCGCGCTTTGAACTTCAAATTCTTCCTGCTTATAACTGTCTCGATACCTGTCTCGTCGATTGGTCTTTCATCCTCGCTGCAGTCATCTTCGCGTTAAGGATTTGTTACCCAGGAATGTTTATTCAACTATTCCATATCGTAACACTCCCCTTCATTCCTGGAGGAGCGAAGTCTTGGTGCGCTTGGTTATGCCGCAGATGTTTTTGCAGTGGTGATACTGCTGACGTGGGAGCTTCTTGGTGAGGAAGTCAGCTGCCATGTCACCAATGGGGCAATAAGTGAAGATGACTTTGCCTTTGTCAACTTCGTCTTTGACGAAGAAATAGCGGAGCGCGATGTGCTTGGTGCGGTTGACGAAGCCAGGCTTGTTCGCGATATTTACCGCGCTTTGGTTGTCGCAGTGAAGTTTGAAGCTTGCAGATGTCTCAATTTTCGCCTCTTGGAGTAGCTCCCGAAGGTAGAGGCCTTCGCGAACGGCTGACGTGGCGGCGATAAATTCGGCTTCAGTGGAGGAGAGCGCCACCATCTCTTGCTTTTGGGAATTCCAGGAGATTGGTTTGGTAGGCTCGAGACGGAAGAGGAAGCCAGTTCGGGACTGTCGATTTACAGGGTCGGCGGCATGATCTGCGTCCACGTAGCCGACGAGGCTGAAGGTGCGAGTCGTGAGGGTTGAGTAGGTGAGGCCAATGTGCGGTGTAGAGATGAAATATTTCAGAGCAAGTTGTAAATCCAACATGTGCTCCCCTTCAGGCCGCTTGGCATACTGAGTGAGTTGACTTGAGATGTAGGACAATTCAGACCTGCATGTGACCGCCGCAAAGAGGAGACAGCCGAGCTACTGCTGGTACAGTTGGTGACAGGAGGGGTTGAGATGTGTGGTGTTGGGAAGATGCGGGGTGGCCGGGTTGCGGTAAGGAGTGGAGAGGTTGGCTGGTTTGATGTTGAACTTGGTTGCGAGTGTCTCGGCATGCTTGGAGGCGGAGAGGTGAATGGCGTCGGCGGAGTAAGAGATATTGAGGCCCAAGAACTGGGTGACTTGATCGGTGCTGGTGATTTCGACGCGGTTGCTAAGGTTTTTCTCAAACTGAGTGAGGAGGTCATTGCTGGTGCCGGTGTAGAGAAGGTCGTCGACGTATGCCATGAGGAGGATGTAATCTCCGCGGCAATGGAGGCGGTAAATGCTGGGGTCGTGGGGCAGCTGGATGAAGCCGATGTCGAGCAGGATTTGGTGGAGGTACTTCAACCAGAGGCGTGGCGCCTGCTTGATGCCGTAGAGAGATTTGCGTAGCTGACACACGCGATCGTCGCCATCGCCGTAGGTATGAGGCTATTCGACGAAGATGAGGGCGTCCACGGGCGCGTAGAGGAAGGCGTTTTTGACGTCGATTTGGTGGAGGGGACGTGGTGAACCAGTTGCGCCAGTTCCGCTTCCACATCCTCCAGCTTTTGCAATCCGCTTTGCGAAGAGTCACCCTACAACTGGAGTGGACTACGAAGGAGAGCACGGATTTGTGTGGGTGATCGTAGCACGCTAGTAGCGTTCTATCAGAGTTCTTACTAATTGTTGTGTTTGCTGAGGAATTTGGCAAGAGTTTCCACTAAGGGAATTGAAAGAATATTCAAAATCGAGAATTGGAGTACAAAGAAGAGCATGCACATGATATCACTAGAATGGCATTGCAATCCCTAGTAAGAAAACTGCAAGGCGAATTGCCAATACTGCATCAGAGCGATTCGCCAACGCTGAAACAGGGCGTCCTGCCAGCGTAGCAGAAGGGCGACATGCTAGCGCTGCAACAGGGCGGCCTGCCAGCACTGCATTTGCAGGTGAATATATGCGCAGGTGTGCACCTGCCGAGTAGGTGCAGGTAGACGGTTACACCGCCAGAGACATTGTGCAGGTACTAGGTAGAAAACGCTCCGACGGTTTCATCAGATGTTCACCGTCGAACTCGTGATGCCATTCCGCAGGTGAAATTTCGCTAAGAATAACCTGAGCGAATTTCGCATGTCGTCGCAGAGTTCCGTAGTCGCGCGAATTCGGCCGACCAGTTCGCCGAGATGAGGCTCACCGAAAGACGCCCTTCGATCAGAGAACGGAACTCTTCGGACTGCACCCCATCCGTCAGAGATCGCGCGATTCACGAGCAGATCAGAGGACGAGCTCGTCGAACAGCACCCCGTCGACCAGAGCTCGTTGATGGGCTGGTGAATCAGAGGACCACCTCCTCGAAAACCCACCACGGTTTCAGGGGACGGGCTGATTCAATGTGACGATCACTTTGTAGAATTCACCACGTCGTCGCAGAGAATCCCTGTGCCCAAGCGAAGGCGGGGCCTTTCACTTCGACACTCCCCTGCCCAGCTCAAGCTTGGGCACCCACACATAAGGTCCACCCAGAACTTAAGTAGTACAATACAAGGGGATATTCCACTGGCGTGCACATCTCCGCACGCCGATCACCGCACCAACCATATTAGAGGACATGACACCTACTGCTGCACGTCGTTGTTGTCGCCGACTTCGGCAAGGCAAACCTGGCCGACCGCGACAGAGCACCGGTTGAAGGCCGGAATGTGCAGCCCTTTCGTAAGGAAGTCCGTCGGCTGCTCGGATGTCGAGATGTACTCCAGCGCAATCTTCTTGCGCTTCACCATCTACTGCAGCCAGGCGTAGCGTCGCTCCATGTGCTTGAGGTTGCCATTCAGCCCCAAGCCCCCAGCGACAGCGATGGCGAACTGATTGTCCACGTTCAAAACAGTTGGCGTCCCAGCATGAAGGAGCTGGAACTCGGCAAGGAGGAACCGAAGTCGACGAGCCTCCTTGCCTGCTTCGGTGGCCGCGATGTACTCCGACTCTGTAGAGGAGAGAGTCACGCACTTGATGCGTTGGCTCGTCCAGGAGACAGGTGCGCCGCCGAAGGTGAAAACGTAGCCATTTGTGCTAGTGCGATTCTGCTTGTCGCCGGCGTCGTCCGCGTCCACGTAGCCGACCAGTTTCAGAGTTTCGGGTCCTCCTCCAAACTCCAGAGCAAAATCGCGCGTGTCGGCAAGATAGGTGAGGCAGCTATCGACCTCACGCCAGTGCTGATCGCTCCTCACCGTCAGACCAGACCCCAGCTTGCTACACGCGAAAGCATTGTCGGGCCGAGTTGTTGTGGCAGCGAGCTGCAGCGAACCGACCTTTTGACGGTACTCCTCCTCTTCGCGCGACTGGAAGTCCTCATCGTCGAAAGTCAGCTCTGCGTAAGCGTCAACGGAAGCAGGCGTCTTCGGACGCCGACCAGTCTGCTCCTCGTTGATGAAGCGCCTACACAACTTGTCAACGTAGGACCGCTGGTGCATCCACAGCTTCCGCGCCAGGACGGTCGCGCACGATTTCGAGCCCCAAATACTTCTCGACCGGGGTGATCTCGCGCAGCTCAAAAGCGGCCTCGAGCAGCTCCTTCAGCTCCTTCAGCATCGCGGTGCTGCTGCTAGCGGCGAGCAGGTCGTCGACATAGACGAGCACCCAGCACGCCACTCCGTCATCGCCAACCCTAAAATAGAGAGCCTCGTCCACCTGGCTCTTGCTCCAGCCAGCGCCCGTCAGCACAGCGTCGAATGCGGAGTACCACAACAGAGGGCTTTGCTTCAGCCCATACAAGCTCTTCAGCAGCTTGCATACGCGTCCGGTTCCGTCATTGTAGTAAGCCGGCTGGTTCATGTAGAGCACGCGGTCGAGCTTGCTCTGCAGAAAACTTCATGTCCAATAGCATGAGGTGCAGATCGAGGACGGCGATGATGCTAAGGAAAATCCGTAGGGTAACGTAGCTCCCGACCGGTGCATACGTCTCCTCGTAGTCAGCTCCGTAGACCTGCGTGAAGACCTTCACCACCAAGCGGGCTTTTTCGCTGCGACCTTGTCGTCGATGTGATAATTTGTCGTCAGAACCGAGCGGTTCTTCATGACA